TTTTGGGACTGGAGCTTGTCCTGGGAGGCCGGGGGCATCCCTGCCTGGAGCTCTGCTCCTTATGCTTGGAGCCCTGGTTTCTAGCAGCTTGTAGCCACCCCCAGCCCCCCACCTGACCGATCCTTCCCCATCTGTGACCCTCACAGGCTCTCTAGGACCTGACTAGGTTCTTCCCAAGCCCACAGCTAGCTGCAGTTTAGCAAAGCCTGCTGTGTGCTAAGCAGCAAAAGGAAGAGGCCTGAGCCAAGTCTGCTCAGTACAAGATGTAACTGTTGCTTCGGGTGCTTCGGCTATCCATCAGCAGACAGTTTGAGACATAGGTGTGGGAGCTGCAGAAACACTCCAGAAAGACAGAGCAGAAAAGCAGGCTGCACTGGAGAAACACATTTTCTCCTCTCCTCTTGAGACCCACCGTGGTGCCTACTGCCTTCCTGTCCTACCCAGGCTGGCTCCTCCCTGAGGCTGCACCAGGAAGAGAGTGGCCTCAGTATTAGGAAGACTTTTGTTTATGCTGTGCTGACCTCTAGAGGCTTCCAATTAAAAGGCATCCCGGAGGACACACTTCACTTTGAGCCTGGTTGGCACTGACATCCACTTTTGGGGCTGGTTCTATGGAAAAGGAGGGGTTGGTGATCCTTCCTCACTTGTTCTTTGGTTGTCTAATTATAGCTTGCCCAGGTTTTTAGAAGCATCATTTTTTTCTACTCAAAAAACAGGAAGATGGGACAGATTCAGAGGGGGTTTGTGCCTATTATGGTATAAAAAAAATAAGTGTCAGCTGGTTCGGGAGGCATTTCGACCTTGCTTCCAAACTCCCAGATGGCCAAACATGGCAAATGGAAGAATATTTGGTCGCCCAATTCATCAGGACACTGGGCTAGACACCTAGCCTTGGCGCCTCCAAATACTGGGCTGTGGGGTTTGTTTCTTTTCCTGTGCTGTGAATCCACCCATGTGTGCTCAACAAGCTCTGGGGATATTGTGGTACTCACCCCACCTGCCCGACTTCACTATGGAAACAAGACTGTTTATTACTCCCTAAGCAAGGAACCCTGCCTTCCCTCTTTGTTGTAGTTTGGTCCTGAGATCTCCTAAAAGAAAAGGGATGTGTGGCAGGGCAGGATGTGGCACCTTCGAGCAGTGGCATTTGGGCTGATACCTAGCTGTGGCTCTTCACTTGGAAAAGGGGATCCTAGGAAAGGTGGGGTAAATCAGAGAAAAGCATAGCAGTGCAGGTAGCCACTGTGGCTTTATGGGACCTTGTGGCACTACTTCCTCTACAGCAGGGCCAGGTGCTCTACCCATCCTCCCTCAAGGAAATCCAAGATGAGGTCACCATTCTTACTCTAACCCATGAGAAACCAAGGGGATGGGGGTGTGAGTAGTGCCACAAAGACTGTCAGGGACCTGTCTGGGCCAGAACCTTCCACCTGCCAAATGATTTCAGAGATTAACTGCAATGAGAGGAGAGGTGAGTAATGCTAGTATCTGTCCCTGCGTATGAAGGGGCCAAGGGAGCCTGTGTGAGCAAGTCAGAGAAACAGGAATTTTCCCATGATAAAAATCTGTCTACACGGCCCTTCTGCAGCCAGGCTTACTGGAGAGGTTTAGAATGCTCACGCACAGCCTTGCTCTGGACTTGGAATCTCTGGCCAAAGCCAAGGACCGACTCTCAGTGACATTATAAACACACACACACAGCCACAAGCTGGGCTTGCTAAGTCACTCCCAAGTTTAGTGACCCCCCTTATTCAGAGGAAAAAACTTGATCTTTAACTAAAGAATGAAACTTGACAACTTTCAGAGCTCCTACTGAAATGCCTTTATCTAATGAATAACAGCAATTGGGAACAAAGGTGTGGAGGAAATGTCTTCATGTCCTTATTGAACTGTCGCAGGACACATATTTCTAATTGTGCCACAAAGGATTCCTAACCAGGTTTGCAAAAAGGAATTCTGATGAAAAATTGCTGAACACCAGCCAGAGCGTAAGTTAGATGTATGCTCCCAAACTCGTGAATCCACACCTTTGATGTAACTGCCCACCCCCACCGGTATCCATGGTCTTTGTTATACATTTATAAGTCACATATAGTATTCTGTAACCAAAATCTGTGGAAAGAGTTAAAAACAAAACAAAACAAAACAAAAACCAAGGCAAATACCACTAGGGCTGAAGGGCTCTTTAATAGCAAGCTTATGGTAATTACATCCTTGGATGTGGTCCTTGCTCTCACGGGAGGGAGGAGGGAGCAGATGGGACAGGGTGCAGAGAGAATTTACACAGTTCTGTCTGAAGCATCTAAGAAAGGACAGTTTGTCATTTACAAGAGAGCTCTCTGAAAGGAAATGTGAACTCAAAGAAGCACAGGCATGACACAGAAAAAACTCCCGACCCGAAAAACCAAAAACCGAACAAGGGCCCTTGCTTTCATTTCTTCCGATTTGCTTCTCTGGAGATGGCTGCAATCTTTCTTGTACACAAATTAGCACTGGATTGCAGCTGGGTTGGACTTGCCCAGCACTGAATATTTATTTTAGCGCCTTTTAGAAAAGCTGTCACTTGTATAGAGCATTGGTCCTGGCCAGTTCAGAAGGTACCTGCTAAAACAGAATCTCAAGAAACAAAAATGAAAGAAGCCCAGGGAAAGGTTTATGAAGAGCACACGGCCAACTTTCTCCCTAATGCTGAACAAATTGAACAGTCCTAATCGAAATGAATGTTAATTCCTATGTATGTAGCTTAGTACACACTTTAAGCTGCTTGGAACTATTCAGCATTGCAGTGTGGCAAATGCGGTTTCTAACATGAATTGTTCATGGCCATTGATACAGACCACAGACTACCAGCATTCTGGCAAGTTTTACACCTACTCCGTATGAAGCCTAAAAGACCTCGGCTTCTCAAGTCACACCAGTTACCATTTTAAACCAAGGTTAACTGAATTTGTATGAAAGAGGAGTTTCTAATGCAAAAACGATTTTATGCACATCTGTAAATGATGCAACAAGTCATGCATGACATCTCCCTCAAGGCTTAGTATAGGAACTAACCACTGAAGCAACAGTGGAGGAGAGGACAGGTATGGCTCACGTTCTTCCAGCTGCCATGGCAGCCGCTCTGGTGCCAGCACTCTGGGAGGCATGCTTCTCAGGCTAGCAGCTGATTTTACTTCTAAGGGAAGGAATTCCACCAGGTGTACAGCACACCTGCCTTGCCTTTGGCTTGGCAGGGGGCATTGTGAAAGTCACAGAGCCATCATCAACACCCTGGAAACATCCAGGCTCTGAGGAAAGCAGTCCTCTAGAGACAGCCAAGAAAACAAGTTGTCCTGTACCCCGGGAGGTAAGTGTGGGCTTTGTGCCTTGTTTACAACCCAGACGGACTGAGACCTAACTCTCTCACAGTCCTGTTCATCTCCTCCCAAACCACATTGTCCGTTTCTCCATTCCTCTCACTGTAGAAAACAGGATTTGTTTAAACTGTTTCCCAACTGGTGAGTTTTAACATGCAATAACTAAAAATTCCGCTCTGGGATTACAACACCCTGGAACACACTCTTTGTGCTCTGAGAAACCGAAACAACATTCAACATGCACTGTGCTAGAGAAGTTTCTGTCTGTACTGAACAATGGTGTCGCTCCCAGTGTACTTCAGTTTTACTGGTGCCAGCGAGCAAGGACAATCTCATCATGTGGCAGACGTTTTGTGCTCTGGTCATGGAAACACAAAATGTACCCTGTGCTGCAGTGGGCCTAGGAGTCACAAATTCCGTGGGACTGAACCCAAGTGATGCCAGGCACTGCCTGGGGCTTCACTACCCTCCCTGGCTCTGTACTTGGATCCCTGAAACCTGCTCGGTGCTATCCCTGGGCAGGGTAATCAGATAGGAGAAAAATGTCTCCGTGGGTCACTCAGGGCTAGGATCAGGCTTGGTATTGTTGCCATGGCATAATTCAGATTTCACAGCTGGTCATATTGATCAGCAAGCAATCAGCCCCCCCCCATGTTTCTCCTCACTCTGTTCACTACCTACCAAGTTTTCCACTGTCATTTTGTCTTCCAGAGTGATGGGACACGCAAAGTGCTCACCACCCGTTCATGGCCAGCTATTCTTCATGCCAAGTTCCCCTCTTGTGCTAACTGCCAACCACTTCCAAAGTCTTCAGTGGGGGGATGGGGACAGGACCAAAAAGCAATTTTGCCCACCGCTGGCAGAGCAGGTTCAGCAGAGACAAACCATCTTCAGGGGCTTCTGGTTACCCACTTCTCAAAGCAACAGAATTTCATCAGGTTGCCTGGGACGGAGCCGACACCAGGCTCCAGGGATCTGGACACCCGCGGCCACCATATTCTAAGGTAGTGGCACGGCCAACATCTTAAGGACATCATCTTTGGCCAAAGTCCAAATTATTTTCTTCCCATGTCCCTCACTGTCCTCAACTGCTGCTCTTTTGCTCACACACTTCCTACGGCAGCCGCATCAGGATGGTTTCTAGAGCTACAAGAGCAAGTGCCCCTCCCTGTCACATAGAAAAGTTTCATGACTTATCCATGTGGTGCAGTCGCTGGCTGAGTCAAAACTAGAAGGAAGAGTCTCTCCTCCTCTCACCCTATGGCTGCCACTGCCCCTAGTCCTGCCACTGGAATGCCTCTGTAGGCTAGGGGAGGGTCTCACTGAGGAGCTGTCTGCATAACTAACCACAGGCTATCTGCCTTCAACCCCAACTGTGATATGAGAGTCAACAGAATGGGTAGGAGTGGGTGTGTGCATGCTTGCACACACAGTGCACACTGGAAGGGATACACACGTGACAGCAGAGAGAAGGAAGTTTGCAAGGACAGTGGATTTGCTGATGCCTGGGGGTTTTGTCATGGAAATCAGCCACATCCAGGGATGGTCTTTCTTCCTGACCCCTGGGCAGAAGAAAGACCAGAGTTTCCAGCAGCCCACTGCACCACCAGGGGTCTTAACTTGTAGAAATAGAGAATACCAATATGAGAATACCAAGTATATTTGGTCAAAGTTTAAATGTTTTGATAAAAATCCATCTTATATTAATGTTCAAACACATGTAAATTTAGATTTGAAGCCTCTGTATAAAATTCCTGGTTACCTCATAATTGAGCAAACTTTGTAACCTACAAAAGCCATTTATTTGTGTGGCCTATCATGTTTAAAAGGAAGTTACCTGCTCTGGACCATATCTACAAGACAGAGAGCTCAGTCTCCAGGTTGTGAGCAGACAGGGCCTGGGAAGCACAGGCAGGACTGGACCTCATACCCTAGAAGGAGCACTAAGTCTGACTTAGCTAATGGGCAACTTCAAGGGAAGTAACTCGGCTTGAGATTAACCATTAAGTTTCCAGAAAATAAAAACACAGATACAAAACCACGATGCGACATCACCCAGGAACTGAACTCTGCTGTGCACCAAGAGCAGTGGGACTCTTCACAGTACCACTGCATTCAACAGAAAATGCCCAGACGGCTGCCACAAACACAAGCTTCTGCTACTGTGGGTTTGGTTTGTTTTTAACTTAAAATACCGATGGCACCGTGTGTGTGTGTGTGTGTGTGTGTGTGTGTGTAAAACATTCCCAAACGGGATGATTGGAAGAATCAAGTGCTGTAAGGGAGCTCTTGTATCCTAAGTTATGAGAACCCGAGACACACAAGGGTCTTACAGTGGCATTAGAGAATGTCCTGGTATTTATTGGCTAAATAATGACAGCAGTTACTTCTGGGAGTTGTCTGTGTGTCCTGATCATTAAAAACGTCCTCTTTTTAACCAAGCAATCCTCTAAGATTCCCACTTCCATGTCACTTTAAAATTTCACTGCAAGTAGGTTCCCTGGAGTATTTAATTATAATTTTTAATAAATTAACTCAGCGGGAGACTTTTCTTGGCATTCTCTACAGAATAAAAGATTAGAAAAGTACAGGATTTCATTATATTATTTTTTTTATCCTGGGTTATTTTCCTATTAGATTTCATCAGTGGCTTCAAAGCCTAACTAAGGGACACTTGCTTGGATTCTAGTTGTTTTCATGATTTAACGAGTTACCGTCTCCTCCTAAAGAAAGAGGGCAAAGGCTTCACTTCATATGCAGGTTTAGAAACAGCTCAAAGGAATCAATAATTTATATCTTTCACCCCATCTATACTTTCCACTATTAGAATTTAAAAGTGGCTTTGGAATCAGCATGTTTTAAAATGATCGAACAACCACGAAACATTTACACTAACCAGCAGCTGGCTGCCACATGCCCAGGGAACCAATTCAGCAGCAGCAAGTCTCCAAGGAGCCTCAGCCACCCTCACCCTCTGCATTTGCACACATGCATTTCACGACTAGATATTAAAACTCATGCCTTCTAAGCAAAACCTTTCACTTATGGACACTTAAAAGGTACATGAAAAGTGCAGGCTGCATTTCTCCTTGGTCATGCTTTTCCTCAGCAAGGTCACCTGGGAGGACTCAAAACACATCCCTAATACATTCAGCGTTCTCTACATTCCAATCAGCAAACATTAATTCTCCAACATAAACTCAAGAGGGAAGAGGCAGCCACAACATGGACTCTAACTTCAAAGTGGCAAAGGCTACCAAGACATCGCCATAGAAACCCCGCCAAAGTGGGGCAGAAATTGTGATCACTTCTGAGCAAAGCTCATCACAGACATTGTGTGGTCATTTAAAAGGTATTTCATTTTCAGTTGGATGTCAGGAGCCCGGTGTCCTGTTTTGAAGAGCTAATACAAAAGGCTACCTCAGGAGCACAGGACCCCATGGGCAGCATAGGGCTTCATCCCCTTCTGGGAGGTGACCTAGGAGTTTATTGCTGACTGACCCCCATTTGGGGGTGGTCCGCCTCTGGCTCCTCCTCCACATCTGCACTGTACTCTTCAAATGCGTCGTCATCTGCATCTGGGAGCCCCAGCAGCTACAGAGAAAGAATTGGACAAGAAAAGCAACAGCTGTAAGCATTGCCCAGACTTCAGGGAGAAGACCAAAGACACTGCACCCAAATTCAACTGCTGAACACAGACAGTGCATCCCTGAGCTCAACTCCCCCACCGCAGCCTTTACAAATATCGTAGAAGACACATCAAGTCTTTGTGGGTTATCAATGTCACTGGCTACCTCCGAGAAGCTCTCTCTTAAATGTCAAAGCACAGACAGGCCCACAAACCACACCTGTACTAGGTGCAGCTGGAGTGCTGGTGAGTCACACCACGAGCAGTGCTGATGTGCCTCCCAAATGTCCCAAGCCAATCATCTGCTTCATTTTCTCCCACAAACACACGGTGTTATTTATAGCTCAGAGGTTAAGAGCACTGACTGCTCTTCCAGGAGTCCTGAGTTCAATTCCCAGCAACCACATGCTGGCTCACAACCATTTGTAATGAGATCTGGTGCCCTCTTCTGGCCTGCAGGCATACATGCAGACAGAACACTGTATACATAATAAATAACTAAATAAAAAATATTTTTTAAAAAAGAGTAGCACATAGATTAAAAATGCTAAGACAACTAGGATGTTTAGTAGCAAAGGGTTACACTCTATAGCAAGGTGGTAAGATAGAATCTTACATATACTTAAATTGAATTTTAAATTAATGATATGAGGCACACTAATATAAAAAACATGATAAAATTACAGATTTATTATGATACAGATTTTCTTAAAATTCATATGGATGCACAGGAAAAAAGACTGCAATTAAATATACTTACATTGAGTTTTCTTTAATATTTTACATTTATTTTTTGTGTTTGCATGTCACAGCATGTGTCTGGTCACAGGACAATTTGCAAGAGCTGGTTCTCTCCTTCCTCCATGCAAAGACTAGATATGGAACTTAGGTCCTCCAACTTGGCCGCAAGTGCTGCAACCCACTAAAGCCATCTCACTGGTCCTCCAGCATGTGTGCGCACGTGTGTGTGTGTGTGTGTGTGTGTGTGTGTGTGTGTGTGTGTGTGTGTGTGCGCGCGCGCGTGTGTAAAGAATTTCTATAAAACTGGGATTGCAGACAACTTTTTTCCATTTCATCTTTAAAAAATGTTTTTACCTTTATTTTATGAATATGAATATTTTGCCAGTATGTATGTACACTATGAGTACGCAGTGCCCACAGACATCAGAATAAAGCATCGGACCAGACTCCCTGAAATGGAGTTAAGGATGGTTGTGAACTATTGTGTGAGTTCCACGAATCAAAATGGGTCCCTTGAAAGAGCAACAAATGCTCTAGACCGTTTTTCCAGTTTCCTTTTCATCTATTATATTCCACAAATATTCTATGATCAGGGAAACACTACAAATTCAAGATAAATATTTTTAACTATGCACATGTGTGCATGTATGTGTTGGGGTTATCTGCAAGTGAGTGCTGGTGCCCCTGACCATTAGAGGTGTCGGATCCTGTGGCCCTGACCATTAGAGGTGTCGGATCCTGTGGCGCTCCATAGGCAGTAAGCTGCCCAGTGTGAGCGCTGGGGATCAAACTCAGGTCCTTTGGAAGAAAAGCACTCTTAACTGCTGAGTCATCTCTCCAGCCTTAGAAACTGGACAGTACTAATCAGTCGTGATCAGTGTGAACCAAATTCTTGTGTGCTGGCAGAAAGCCATGCTCTAGTGCTCCTGGGCTTTTGCACTTGAGGACTGAGTAGAGTGGCCAAAGACTTTCCACACAGAGACCCAGGACTTGTCACCTTCAGACCTCTTAACTAAGTGGCCCCAGTGACCTACACTTCAGCTGCATTAAGACATCTAAGGTAGGCCTTCTCGTTCCTCATGTGGCTTCTCCGTTGCCCTTCCACCCTTCCTCTGAAGGGAACAGCTCCCCATTTTGGAGGCACACCAATCCTGAGCCTGTGCGTACCCCAAGACACTCCCCTTACGCTGCCCTATAAGATCTCTATGCTGTGGCTTTGCGTTGTCTTTCCTAGCCATGTGGGTGGATGAAAGGCCCAAGCTAATATGGGGTTAGCTTGTTAAACAACTGCAATAAAGCCTCGTGCAGTTTGCATCAAGCTTTCGACTCCACCTGGTGATTGGGGTGACCGTGGTCCTGGGCTGAGATCCTAGGGCCTGAGCCTCTGGGGGTCCTTCACCTCCACTCTCCCTGTGGCTCAAATAGAGGACCAGCAAGCACGAAGTCCCAACTGAGACAATGCTTATACTCTAGAGCTCTCACAGTTTCAGAGCCCCAGGAAAGCAGAGCAAAAACATATGTGAAGCATTACTGGTCACAGGTCAAGATGGCCACAGCCTACTGCAGATACGTGCTGACCCTGAAGAGCTCACGGCTGCTGATGTCGCAGAGAGTTACTGCTCACTTGAAGGAAAGGGCAGGGAGAGGTTGTCCAGCCCTGGCACATGGATCTCATGTGTCCTCAGAAGAAAAGAGAAGCTCCCTTGTGTCACCACTGTCTCCTTCTCACACTCTAATGAAATACAGGATAAAACTGCCTCCAGAGAGAGAAGATGGCTAGTCACAGTGGAAGCAGATGGTCGCTATGCTGGCGGCCAGTTTTTATTTGGAGAGCTGCTGATGACAAGGCAAAGTGGAAGTGTCAAGGGAGAGGAATGCTGCCATATCTGGCACAGCAGCATTGCTGAACTCAGAGCTTGAACATCAGCTCAACAGCAGAACAAGAGACACAAGACCGCCGAAGAGCGGGATGTCCCTAACTGCAAAACAGCCAATGCATCTGTCCATCCCACTTAATGAATCTGAGGTGGCACATGGTCACTTGGAGTTCTGGGTTCAGAGGACTCTGAGGCTCAGTGGGAAACTGTGGTTAGCCATGACATTCCTGGGTAAGAATGGCACAGCCGAGCCATGTTTGTACATACATGTATCTACCATGATTCTTCCTCACAGGACACTTGGTTATTCACCCTAACCCAAGCCACAAGTAGCTCTCAATGGCCTCATGGACTCAGCATGCCTTGCTGAAGTAGATCCGGCAGGCTGATTGGCACAAACTACACCTCTCCCCTGCTCAGCTCCCTCCCTTACTCTTCCACATGATATCAAAGCACACGGTTCTAGCTTTAGAGAGCCAGCCTGAAGGGAGGCCCTTTCCTGGGGACAGGAAGCATCTTCCCACTACATGGGGCTGGTCAGCCCTTGCAGTTCCAGAATGGGGAAGTAAAGACACCATTCGTAGTGGCAACGGACTTCCAAGGTTCCTTGGTACAGATTCTACAAACACACAGAGAGGCTGGAGGATGGCACTTGACCTTTGGCATGCACCCTTCTCTGTACAGCAATAAGTTCGGCATTGACTGAAACTCAGAGCGACTCAAGCTCAGAGGCAAAAGTAAACAGCCAGTCTGCCCACTGTCCAGCCTTACAGATATGTATCTTGTTGGGCTGTCTAGGGAGTTCCCACTGCCCAAGTAGCCTGTCTCCAGCCTCCTCCTGCCTCTTTCCTGCTGAGCTGGCTCTAGGAGGTCCTTGCTGTGAGTGAGCACTCCGGGAGCAGGAAGAAAGGAGAACTCCCTGCCAGCCTCTGCATCCCATCCTTGCACTCTGATGAGACAAACAAGGCTGCCACACTTCAGAGTGAATGAAAACTGTGTATGCCTGTTTCTATCTCAAGCAGCTTTACATGGGGTTCTCAAGACCAAAAGATGTTGGGAGCCTATCCAGAGTCACCTAGGACATGACACAGCCAGCACTCAAACTCTCGTGATTGGCCTGAAGTCTTCCCACACTTACCCCCACCAGGCTGGCTACTGTAGAGATGCCTGCCAATGCTGTGTCTGGCACTTGGAAGTTTCCATGGTTTCTAACTGGGCAATACATGTTTTCAAAAGGTGTCCTCAGTGGGAAATGTATGCAACTAATATTTGTATTATGACAACCTTGAAGTACATGCAAGCATGGCAAACTACCAGAGTGGAGTTCCAGAAGCACCACACAGATAGGGAACAATCCAGCACCATTGTCACAGCCATGGGTGGTAGAGGATCTAAATCAGAGGTGGGATGACAAACAGCATGGTAGAGAGCAGGAGTCCTTATTGCGACAGTGCCCACATGTTCTTATGAGAAAATGGAAACAGCCAAAACCCATCAGACAGGCCTGGTATGTCTAAATGATTCTTGATGGTTATTTTTCAGCAGCCTGGGACTCAAACAAGTTTCTGCTCATTGTGTACAGGAACACACCAACATTCCCAGGCCCTGCTGACCACAAAACTCCCTTGGAATAGTCCACAGTTACAGACTGCTAGGTCCATCAGGACACACAGGCCACTGCTGGAAAGGAAGAGTTGCTAACATTTGAGAATTAAAGTTCTTTAGGCCCTGGTCACCCGTGGGACTATTTAGGTCCTGTGGATAAAGGTGCAAATTACTTGAGGCAGTGGCTGGCATGTGGCACCCTGAAAGGGCACACATCAGGCAATTTGGGTTGGTGTCTTTATTCTGAGAGAGAAGGCATATGTGGCTTCTAGAGCATCCGGGATCAGCTTTGGCTTTGGTGTGTGTAGTGTGTCCTTGGAGCTTCAGGCATCCCTGCACACTGCTTCCAAGGGAGAATCAGCATTTCCCACACTTACTGTGTCTCTGAGTCACCAAGAACACTACCAACAATGCAGATCCTGGCTCAATGAGGGATCCCCACATTTCTAATTTGCTCTAAGGGGGCCCAGAAGCCCTACTATGGGCAGCAAGACTGGCTAAAGCATTTGGGGGATTTGAAATTGTTTATCCTAAAACTCATGCTGAGTTTCAACCAGTCTTCTCTATATTAGGATGGAGAGAGCGCTGCGGAGGAGTCAAATGGGTAAGAGTGGCAGAAGCGGTTATAGGGGGCACTGTCCTGCTTAAAACTGACAAGGGTCTTGTTTTTGCTGTTTTGTTTTGTTTTGATTTTGGTTTTTCGAGACAGGGTTTCTCTGTATAGCCTGGCTGTTCTGGAATTTGCTCCATGCTGACTTCAAATTCAGAGATCTGCCTGTTTCTGCCTCCTGAACACTGGGATTGCTGGTGTGCACCACTACTGCCTGGCTAAAGAACGACAAGGTTTGAATGTCCACAACATGAGCAGAAAATAAAAGATATTGAAAAGTTACATTTCTAATATTTATTGCCATTCATGATTATCCACATGGGAAATGTTTTCCTTAGACTTTCTGTCCCACTCAGGCAAACTCAGCACCAGTGGGTTCCTACTACCCAGATGGTGGGAGCAGAAGCAAAAATTGCACTGCTCTGGGCCATGAATGATTTCTTGTGTGGAGTCATCCCTGGCTCCCTGGATCACTGGGTGCAACCTAAAAACACTAGCCTCCCTCAGGCCCATGTCCAGACTCAAGGGAGTGTTCTTTTGCTAGGAGTCCCTTCTTGAGAAAAGAAACAGTGTCACACAGCATCCTCAGCAGGAAGGCTGGGCCATTCAGAGGAAGAAGCCATGGGAGCCACAGGAAGTAATGCCAGGCTGGGCCATCATGGCAATAGCCGCCAAACAGCATTCACCACTGCCACAGGCACAACTATAGGACCTGACCTCCATGAAGGAGAGAGGGGAGGAAGGCACCTCACTGGGAGAGCAGCGATCTTTCATGCTCATGTAACTTGGGGGGAATCTGGCACTAGAAGACCACCTCTCCTCTCCACCTCTGCCTGATTACCAGCAATCAAGTCTGACATTCACCATCAAATAAAACAGGCACAAGTGACGGTCACTGTTTTATTTGATATCACTGGCCCACTATCTACGTCTACATGTGATGGCCAGCGAGAGTCTCGTAAGTGAGGGAAATGACTGTCCACATTTGCCAGCGGTCTCTGAAGTCATCACCCGTGAGCAGTGCTACTCACAGGTGGCAACAGTCATTTGCATTCATGCACCAGTGCTATCTGACATGCTCATAGTGAGGAGGAAAGTATCAGGCCTGAGATCCTCCTTCATGAGGCCAGATGCTCCTCCAGTGGAGAGAAATGGGTGCCGCTCGAGGTGAAAAGATGGACAGTTGCATCAGTGATCACATCCCTATCTCAGGGCAGCTGGACTTTGACAGTCTGCTTTGGACATTGTCCATGGATCCATAGGACAGTGAAGTAGAAGCTGGCCCTGTTTTAAAGATGGGAACACATAGGTTAAGAAAACTGCCAGAAGTCACATAGCAAGGGACAGGGCAGTCTATCCTACCTGGGGTATTTCTAAGGACTCACTGCATGGCCAGGAAACTCAGATTCCATCTTTCTCTCATTTTCTCACACTCTACTTCAATCCAGCAGGAGGCCAGCTGGGTCTACTTTCTAGGCATCCAAGGCTTTTGTTCCACTCTTGCTATTTTTGAGCTGGCCTCACATCTGCCTGGAAGATGGCACTGGCTCTTGCTGTGACAGTCAATCTGAGAACTCCAGTCTGCCAAAGGGAACCTCTCAAAACAAGACATCATCGTGGCCATCCTGCTCTAAATCTTTAGGCTCCCCATGACAGGTAAAGCCAAGTCCTTCCACAGCTATGAGACCCAATGTCTTCCTCAACTCCCTCTCACTATGCCCAGGTCCCCAACTCCAAAGCCCTGTAGTCACATAGATACCTCCTATATCAGGCACACAGGCAATCTCCTGCCCTTAGGCTTTCAAACCTGCTAGTCTTCGTGCCTGGACACCTAGCCCCCACCCCCACTGGCTCTCCTCATGATCATTGCTGACTCCAAAATATCCTTCTCACTGAAGACTCCTAGATCTCTCCCAATAATTTCAGGGTAATGCTTCTTCCCCCCCATTCTAGGTCTATTTCCTCCCTACTTGGCACCTGCTGCGGACACACTGAGTTGTACTGCTTACCTTGTCTTCCCCAAGGAAATCACAAACTCTTTTTGATCTCTGAGGTTCACCACCTGACTCCTATACTAGGACCAGAGCAGGAAATGGTCCAAATGGCTTGGTGGGCATTCACCACATGCTGACAACAGACTCAAGGCGGGGCACAGGGCCCTTTAAAGCTAAAGTGGCTTAGAAAATTAGCAAGGAAAAGAATAGAAGACCAGGTGAATGGCTGGAATAAGAGAATGTGATGAAAGCCACTGAAATTCCGTTTCTCATAATGGTGGACTGAATAATTAGGACCAACCCTTCTACCGAGAACAGCTAACACATTTTCAAGCATTTCATATGGAAATAGCCTCTTCCGTATGGTGAAGACTTGGAAGCCAGAGAGGTTGGCCTAACCTGACTGGGAAAGCAAGAAAGTGTACTGTATTTTTTAGAACTGTTCTAAGATCTATGAAGGCATCAAAGCTGAGGGCCCTCTATGGGAACATACTACAGCAGGGTCCCCACTTTAACTTGGAGGTCTCCCAAAGGCCCACACTCCTGGAACAAAGATGAGCTAAAGCCACAAGATCCGAAGCCTGTCTTTTCATCACCTAGAGTGTCTGGGAACTGCAAATCAAGAACTGAAGGCCGCCACAGGCTGACAAGGCTCTCAAGTCCTGGCAGGGCCAACATAAGTCCTTTCTGGAAGGTACTGTCATCTTGGACCTCAGTTTATTCCTGTCCATGAATTAGACAATGCCACACACAACTGCTGGATACCACAAGTGCCAGCCAGGAGGCTAAATGCTTACTAACCTTGAGATGTCAGAAGGCAGTTATGCAACCGACCTCCCTGGACCAGAAAGCAAGCTTGAAATGTTTAGTAGAGAAGTAGATATACAAATTCCACAGCATATTACTGAATTCATGGAATATATTCACAGTGGGCAGGGAAGCAAACTAGGGCGGGGCATATCATGATGCTTTGGGAGAGAGGCAGAAGTAAGGAACCACCAAGCTAGGGTGAACAGTCACTTTCACATGTCATCAGCTATTAAGAAAGCAGACCATCAGCTTGCCACAGAAATAGAGTCCTAAATCCCAAGAGGGGAGGCAAGTTTTATGCAAGTGTTTTTGAGAACGGAGACAAGAAAAGAATCATTATCCAACGCCGCCCATCCCCACAGGCACAAATGTGGACGGGCTTTATCTAGATTTCTGGTCATGTCCCTGATGTAAGCACCACTATGAGAAAACCAAACAAACAAAAAGCACACTATTTCCAGGTGGACTTGGAGTCTAGTGGGCGAGAAATGGATTACTTCATTGTCTCGGAAAGGCTCTGTTTGCTTCCACCCTGTCAGTACTTCTCAACTCAAGTGATGCTGGAAATAGCCACCATTCCTGCACCAAAAGGCCATGTCACATCCCATCTTTGCCTCCCCACACTGGCTGCTATCTTTATACTGCAGGGCCAACAGCAGACATAAGAATAGTCACCCTGGGCTTGTCCCCTTTCCGACCATCCCCGCTATCATGGTGTGGTTATGGAGTGTTACAGGGAGACTTCAGAAGCCATGCAGCACCTACAGATCTGAAGGACTTGAAGACTTTTTCCAAGACTTCATGGAGTGTCTTCTTGCCGCAGGAAGAGATGTAATCCTGTGCTAGCTGCAAGAAGGGCAGGCAGTCTTCGCTCTCACTCCACACGTGCTGCGGCCCCGTAAGGGCAAGAAGGAAACAGAGAACACAAGTCATTACCCTAGAGTTTTAAAGAATCACGCATTCAAAGTCAGCCTCTGTTACAGAGTGAAACCCATCCACTCATTCTTCGTTTCTCTGCATGGCAAGGGATCAGAAAATGTCAAATCCATAGGACTTCCCCAAGCTTCATGCTCCCTGTGTCACCTGCTGTCTGCCATCTGCTCCCAAGTAACTAGAGACCAGGGAGGCAGACATCACCCCTGCTCACCGTCTCCAGCGGGTGCATGAGGCTCATTTTAAAAGAGGAGGGAGGAGAAATCAGAGCTCTGGCCTTCAAATTCCTTTACTTTGCCCTCAGCTACAGCTGAAGAATTAATTAACCATAGTTTGTAATCATGTACTTGGAACAAGGTGTTCCCTCTGCAGATCGCCCCTTGAAAAGGGGTGTTGGGAAATTTCTTCAGAATGGAACAAACTTATGAGAAATTGCAAAGTCGGCACCGAGTCACCAGGAAGCCAGTCATCCTTCAGGGCACCTTAGGTGGGCATCGTACCCACACATCACTAATTCAACCTAGTGCCTGTGGAGAGCAGCCTGCATTTAGGTTTGTTCTTGTTACTGAGGCCAGGAAATGTTTCTCTATTCGAGGAAATCCACCTTATTATGTCTTTAAAACTAAAGAAAGTTTTTCCCATAATGGTCAAAGATCTAGAATAAGCCAGAGAAACAGGCTGATGAGGTCTAGCTGAAGAAGCCCCAGATCTGCAGAGCCAACCAGCCAGGAACACAGGGTAGCCCAGGGGTCTGACTCAGGGTGTCAACCAATGAGACAGTGCTAAGGCCTGGTGAAAGGGAAGGTGCTTGGTGGACTGGAGGAGACTCAGAGGCTAGGCAGTAGGAGACAAGACCTAGCTAGAGAAGGGATCCTAGGGGCCCACGTAGCACTACCTGCCTGCTTCTATTCATGTACATAAGCAGGGCATCACCCTAGAAAGTTGTTTGCCATCCCATGAGCGCAGCTCATCATCTTCTTTCTCACTGCAGGGTGCCCAAGAAGAGCTGTGGAGACCTCTGACACAGCTGGGGTCTAAGTGAGGATATGACAACACCATTTATTAACTGCTAATCATCTTATATCTACTGTATTTAAAAATAAAAAGTATTTCATTTTATTTAAACTACTTCTTTCCAAAACTAAAGGTATCTAGCAGGGTTGGAATACAAGACAAGTTTGATCTGAAAAATAAGTCTGATGTGTGTGTGTGGCTGGGGAGAGGGGGGCGGGGGGAGGGGAGTGGACAAAAGAAAAATAATAAAAAGGAAAGAAACATAAAACCGGGGGTGATGAGAGAGCAAGCAGCCAGGTGAGCGGGCAGAGCCTGCCATCAGAGTCTGAAGGTCTTTCATACAAAGATAAATGGGTGGGTGGCTAAAGCCCAGAGTCCTGGGCCACCAGATACAACCACTGCAGCTGCAGCTGGCAAAATACTTCAGGCACATATAACCGAGCACAACATTAGCCAGGCACATATGACCGAGCACAACATTAGCCAGGCACACATAACCGAGCACAACATTAGCCAGGCACACATAACCAAGCACAACATTAGCCAGGCACACATAACCGAGCACAACATTAGCCAGGGAAAAGCTGCAGCAGCAACTGGAGAAGCTGGCTGCAACCATAGAAATAGCTCAGCTGGAAGTGTCAGACTGAAGAATCCTAGCTGCCCCTGGGTACAGTCGGTGCTAGAGCCCATGGGTACAGTGGGCTGCAGGCCTCCAGTGATGGCAGAAGATGCCAAGGAAGCCAGAAGTGGAGTGGAGCAGGGGTTCTCCAGCTTTAGCAGTTGACAGTCACTTGGAAGCTTGTTACCTCCCAGCGTTTCTGATTGGAGGTGGGCTACATTTCAGTATTTTTCATGGAGAACTCAAGCAGTTCCGATACTGACCACAGTCATGAGCTGCAGTGAAGTGGCCTCCACAGCCCACACCCCGAGTGGCCTGCCTCTCCCATAGCAAACGCCCGATGTGAGCACTGTGTAATTACAGGCCATCTGTGGTGCCACCACCACACTGTGGCTCTTCTTTCTGTTACATCAGGCCTGACCTCACCCGGCTAAGGCAGCACAAGCAGTCACCCTCAAGAGGAAGGGAGCATGTTCCACTTTCTATATAGAGATGACAACATCTGGTCATCAAAAGGTGACGTTAGATCAGTAAGGTAACCCAATCCCGCTGAGTTCTTCTTGTCCTGGGGGCATGCTGCTAGACTTTCTGCTATGAACTCGAGGCCAAGACGGTTCAGAGCACACCCCTGACTCTTTCTGAACACCTGTGTCCTGAGCTATGTGACTTTCTCGTCGTCATGTAACCAGCCTCCTACAGTCAGTCACAGGTTCTGAGCCAGGGATGAGACCTAACCAGGGAATTATCTGAAGGGAAACAGCATCTGTACTGAACAAGCAACATTTGTCTAGCATTATTCTTGAACAGTATAGAACAATGCACACTTACTTCACATTCTCACTGTTCTGAGCATCCTGAGTAATCTAAGACAGTTAAGGCATACTACAGGGAAATGTGTGTAGGGTATGTGTAAATATGTCATTTCACACAACAGCTCTGAGCAGCCTCAGATTTGGGCATCTAAGGAAGGTCCTAAAACCAATTTCCCCATGGACCATCTGATCTGCTATCCTTGTTCTTTTGTGTGTGTGGGGGGGGTGGTGTGGGTGTTGGTTTTGAGACAGGGTTTCTCTGTGTAGCAGTCTTAGCTGTCCTGGAACTCGATTCTGGCTCTAGTTTTAATTGGTGTTCCTTAATCTAAAACCGATGTCTGTCCTCAGAGCAGGCAGAACACAAAAACCACAAGCTACCTGTGGCACACCCAGTGGGAACAGCATGGTTAGCCATAACTAAGGCAGCCTGCTCATTGTGTTGAGCATTGATTGTATCGGCAAGAAACTGAGGTTCAAAAGGCTAAGTGACTTGCTAGTGGTACATGGGCAGCAGAAGGCAGAGAGCACCCCACAGAGGTTTGGCACGAACACCCTCAGCTGCCTCTGTGCAAGCTGATTAGGGGGGCCTTGGCTCAGCCACATGTAAGTCACAGACCACAGCCATCCCAGAGGGGGTCTGAAGATCACAGGTGTCGGCTTGCGAACTGCCTATCTTTTAGCAGATAATCAATAACTGCTTGTTCCCCATTGTTTGCACTCATCACACCCCATCTTTACCCTCTTTATGATTAGCTGAATATGCAAGTGGCTTTGTTCTTCCTTGAAATAACCGATGAATAAGGCAATGTCACTGTGCACATGAGTCTTTATACAGCGCTCACAGTAATAATGGCTATAGTATGATTATCTGTGGATGGGAAACCAAAAGTAGCAGGGAAAGAGAAGTTTTTTTTTTTCTTCACACCATCACAAAATCACGATGCAGTTCCATTTAAATACATTGAAGAGACATGCTCACAAGTCAGAACGATGTAGACATACACACAAGAGTTGGTCCCAGAGCCCCTCCGTGAGTATCGCTTCTTTAATAATATGACTGTTATTTTTGTTTGGGTTTGAGGGGGAATGAAACTGCACAAAAATGTGGATCCAAATATGTTTCTGATGGACTCTCAGAAAAGGTGGAGCTACTAGGTAAACAGGGTCCTCCATACAATCAGTAACTTTTTTTTAAAGGTATCATCTATCATTCTTTTTTTAATTTATTCTTATTTTATGTACATTGGTGTTTTGCCCACATGTATGTCTCAGTGGTAGTGTCTGATCTTGGAGTTACAGACAGTTGTGAGCAGCTATGTGGGTGCTGGGATTTGAACCCAGGTCCTCTGGAAGAGCAATCAGTGCTCTTAACCACTGAGCCATTTCTCCAGCCCCCCCCCAGCATAACCAGTAATTTCTAATCTAAGTGAATGTAGGACACTCCTCAATTAGCGGACAAGGGAGGGGAGCAGCCAATTGGATACATAACTGCAAAGTTGCTCATGCACACAGTTCTGTCCACCTGGTACCTGAATGGCTGCCCACATTCCCCTTCCCAGGCCTGATAGCCACCAAGACCTTCTGAGTTGGTAGAATAGGGAATCACCATCCTGTTGCTGAGTTCCTGCCCCCTCTGCCTGAGTGGCACAGACCTTCTTGCTACTTGCAAAACCACAACTCCCAGCATGGTGGGCAGTTTGGAAAGGGGCTACATTGGCGGCTGGCCTGTGAAAACAACAACAAGCTGCCCAGGGGTGTAGCAATGAAAAGAATCTCTGTCCTTAGACCTCTGTATCTACCATGGGTCAATCTTCAGTGAGGGCTATCTGAGTCTCTTATACACTAAGCCTCAGTTTCCTCATCTATAAAATGTGTATAAAATCTACCTCATAGAAAATTTGTGAGGCCCAATAAGAAGTCATCTTTCAAGGCTGAGCAGATGGCTCGGTGGGTAAAGTGCTTGCTGTACAAGCATGAGGACCCTAGTTCAGAACCCCAGCACCCATGTAAAAACTTATAACCCCAGCAGTGGAGAGCAGGATCCTCAGGTCTCACTAGCCCTGAGGCATGAAGTACCTGTGTTGTAGGAACTTAGAAATGTCAGGAGACAGGTCATATAAAGGCTTGAGGGCACCACCCTCATCCCCACCTTCTGAGTGCTGGGCTTACCACCACCATGTCCAGCTCCAGATCATACTTTAGATAGATGCTGGTGGAGATAGTTCAATAAGGGAGAAAACATGTGAGGGCTCATCCCCAAGTGCCTTTGTAGTCACCGAGGGAAACAAGAGGGGACTGCACATGCTTTACCCACAATGCTGGCACAACTCTCGTGATCTGGACCCCGGAAGTGAAGCAGAGAAGTTAGGAGGTCTTTAGAAATGGGGCCAGGCCGTATTGTATGGATGGCAGTAACATTTACAGTGATTACAGTAACACAGGCTCCCAGATATGAGCACTGAGCATAAGCAGATGTGCTCTCCAGTAGCCCTGCCAGGCACTGACAACAGACTGCCACTTTAAGTGAGGTAACAGGAGGTCACAGCTGTTTAAGCCAGCAGAGAGGGGTTCAATGTTGTCTCCAAGCACACAGACAGAAGTGGGAGCTTGGATGTCTGAGCAGAAGCAGGGTTGCTACATCACTTCTGAGCTAGCCAAACGTCCTGACAGCCACAATGCCATTTGTATGTTGGATAGCCTTGACCCAGGAAAGACCAAGCCTTCATCAGTGTTTGTAAGTTTTTCAATGATCTAAAACGTTGTAAATGGAGAGATGCTACACAACATTCTTACTGTTACCAAAATCTTCAAGTAGCAGAGATACCACTTAATTAGAGGCAAGCACTTAGCACACTCAGCCTGGTAAAGAGTCAAGGAACAATCTGGCTAAGAAAACACCTGTAGTTGGCAACTTGTCCATCGTGGTCCCCAGAAACTTTGAGAAAGTGCTCGTGTGTCCAAGGAATTACATTCTCTCTTCTTCATCCCCTAGATGGTCAGCCAAGACTTTGCTCATTTTAAGAACATGAATCAATAGTTTACCAGTCATCACAGTGAATACTGTTCTGTGGTGAGGGATTATTTTTGAAAGAGGGTCTCAGGATCCTAGGCTGACTTGGAACTTATTAGGTAGAAGAACTTGAATTTCGACCCTCTGTTTCTACCTTCCAAGTGTAGGGATTACACCCCACACACCCCACCTCCACTTTTGCAGTGCTGGGGCTTTACACCCAGGGCTTTACACAAGAACTCTACCAACCAAGCTACATCCTTAGTTCCAGGTAAGGCTTTTAAACAAAGCGAGTGGGGAACATCAGGTCTCTGAACTTAAAATTTGCAGGACACGTTGTGCATTGAACTGCTAGATGTGCCCTAAACGATCGCCAGGGAACTGGTACTAGGAAACTAATTTTGTGGAAAGGCAACTAAAGAGAAGACAAGTGGACAGAACTCAAATCTAGGTGCCACCCAAAGCCAGGAGCATTTTTTTTTTTTTTTTTTTTGAGATAGGGTCTCACGGATCCTAGGCTGAACTTCCCAAGGATGAGTCAGGGGCGCCAGGCGCGGGGTCCATGTCCAGCTTTGTCACTCCACCTGATGAGCCAAGCCAGTGGATGCACCGCCCCATCTCCCTCCGCAGAAGCAGCCGCAGCGCCTGCTCCAGCCTCAGGCCAGCGACCACACGATAACCCTCATTCCCAGCTGCCTCCATCTTACATTTGGGGACTATTATTTATAGTGCTTACAAACAAGCCATGGCGCGCCATCCCCGCCCTGCCTCCACGCCTCCCATCACAACCGCGTGCTCTCTGCATCCCCTTCCTAAACTGTCAGGGCCAGGATCCCTAGTGGGGGAGATGCGGGTCGACGGTTTGGCTACCATAGTTCTTGTCCCGGTCCTTCTGGGCCGGGGTGTGTGGGTTCTTCCTCTGGAAAAGCTGAAATGCCTTGGTGGAGCCACAGCAGCCTCATGGATGGCCAGAACCTGCACAAGGGACACACACTTGCTGGCAGTTCATTGAGGAGCTAGGGAAGCCTGGGACTGGGGATAGGCGTGACCCCCGCCCCCCTCCATCCCCTCGCGCGAGGGCGAGCGCGTGTGTGCACGCGCATACATTTTCAAGCTTCAGGGCGTAATTCTGCAAACAGGGTTCAAAAGATCTAGCACTGCGGGTGTAGACAGAGGCTTTGTGTCCTTCCGAGAGACTCGCAGCCTGGGGCGGGGCGGCTTCAGAGTTGTTTCTGAGACCGCGAGGGGAAAGGACACCTCCCCGGACTGGACCTTGGATCTAGACGCAGGAGCCATGCGCCCCGCCCGGTGGATGCCACACAGGGACTCCCTGGGGATGCTCCGAGCCCC